GCTGTGTACAACCCCGCCGCGCTCCGCCGGCCGACCCTGGCCAAATTCGTGCTGGGCTCTTTTGACGACAACTCCTCCGACGATGAGCTGGTGGCCACGGCCTTCAGGGTGGGCAGCCGGCGCAGCAGCCTGGTCGGTGCGGGGGGCACTGGCGCCGAGCCCCCCAGTGTGACCGCGGTGCTGGAGCCCGCTGCTGGCATGAGGTACGGCACAGGGGGTCGGGAGCTGCTGTGGTGCAGAGAGGCCCCGTTTGGGGCGGGCAGATGCTTTTCCTTGGTTGCGTTTCTCAGGGACCCTGTTGCTAAAATTGGGGTGCGTGTGTGGGTGCTTCTCAGCACTCCAAATTGATGCCCCTGTCCTGCCTCTTGACTTTAGCATCTCTATTGATGATCTTGGTAAGGACATAGAGTGTGTCATCAGTGAATTCACAGATGACACCAAGTTAAGCAGGAATGTCGATCTGCATGAGGACAGGGAGGCTCTGCAGAGAGACCTGGATAGATTGGATCGGTGGCCAACGTCAGCGGGCTGGGCTTCAACGAGGGCAAGTGCCAGGTCCTGCCCTTGGGCCACAACAACCCCCTGCGTGGCTACAGGCTCGGGGAGGGGTGGCTGGAGCTGTCTGGGAGAGAAGGGTCTGGGGGTTCTCAGTGACCAGCAGCTGAACAGGGGCCAGCAGCGTGCCCGGGTGGCCAAGAAAGCCAACGGCCTCCTGGCTTGTGTCAGCACTGGTGTGACCAGCAGGAGCAGGGAGGTGACAGTCCCCTGTGCTCGGCACTGGTGAGGCCACACCTGGAGGGTTGTGTCCAGGTTTGGGCACCTCAATCCCAGAGAGATCTGGAGGGGCTGGAGCGAGGGCAGAGGAGGGCAACGAGGCTGGGGAAGGGCTGGAGAATCAATCCTGTGAGGAGCCAGGGAAGGAGCTGGGAGTGTTCAGGGTGAGGAGAAGGAGGCTGAGGGGAGCCCTCATCCCTCTCCGCAGCTCCTGACAGGACATTGCAGAGAGGCTGGGGCTGGGCTCTGCTCCCAGGGGATCAGGGACAGGACAAGAGGGAACGGCTGGAAACTGCCCCAGGGGAGGGTCAGGCTGGGCAGGAGGAGAAAATGTTTCCCAGCAAGAGTGGTGCGAGAGTGGAACAGGCTGCCCAGGGAGGGGGGAGTCCCCATCCCTGGGGGGGTTTCAGGGCCGTTGGGATGAGCTGGGGGGGATGTGGGGTAGGGGAGAACTTTGTGGAGTCGGGCTGAGGGTTGGACTCGCTGACCCCGAGGGGCTTTTCCAACCTGAATGAGTCTGTGATTCTGTGACTTGGTGCCACGTGAAAAACCCTGATGATAAGATTAACAGCTGCACCCCGGGAAGAGCAGACGCTGACGACAGCTCCACGTGCACGAGCGCAGCAGGGACTGGGGCAGGGGTTGCGCCGTTACTGGGATTTTGGATGTCAAAGAACAGGGTGGAAAGTGCTTTTAGTTCCTTCAAACGCAATTCCCAGCGCTGCAGCCAAAGGGCCCAGTTGCTCCCGTTTTCTCTTCCTCTCGCGTTTAGCTGATCCTCTCTGTCCCGGCACCATCTCCCGGTGCTGGGAAAGGCCGTGCTGATGCGCTGGCCGGAGCTGCGGTTGGCACAGGATTGGGGGGCGCGTTGGAAGTGGGGATTTGCTTGCGTGACAAGATGAAATCGGGGTCAGCTGAGGTGGCGAGCGTGTGGACAGGCAGCAGCGGGCGCTGCTGATGTTTTCCCTGCGTTCCCCATCCTTCCAGGCGCCTGTTGGGTGCATGAGCATTGCTGGGGGCATTTCACGGGGTGTATGTAAACCCGTGAGCTGAGCTGAGCCTTTTCACAGGGCACTTGCACTATTTTCCCACGCAGATGTTGCTCGGTGCCCGCAGGGCTGGATCTCACAAGGACCCAGTTCGCTTTGCTTCTGCTACAGTGGTGGGGGGGGATGCAACACACCCCCTGGTATTGCGTGTGGGGAGGAGTGGGGTACATGGGGTGCTGCTCCTGCCTTCCCTCTGCCCCTGCAGCTAATGCAGATAAATTATCCAAGGCAGAAAAGCAGCTCTTCAGTAGTTTTGCCATAAGTTGAGATAAAATAGATGAGCTTTGCTCTGTGTGTGGCTTCACAGCAGCTTCTGCCCAGCAGTGGCAGGGCTGTGGGGCAGCTCGCCGCCGTCCGCAGCGGACGGCTGTTCCAAATCACTGAAAACAAAGCGCTGCTGCCCGGTTCCTCCTGGTTGCTCTGCTCTGAGTTAAAAATAAAAGACCTTTGGCTGCAGGGACGTGTTGTGAAAGTTGTCGGGCCGGTGGTGTCGCCTTGCCCAGCTGGGGCTGTGCGTGGTTTCCTGCGCCGCGCTATCGCTGCTGCTCCTCTGGGCTCTAAGGGGGAGGAATTTCCTCGGCCGCTGCCCGAGTCCCGCCGCGGTCAGTGCGGGGTGCGGGATGGGGCAGGTGTGCTGGCACAGGCTTTGTCTTGGGGTTCGGGGTGGCAGGAGGGAAACGGGCAGCGGAGCCGGCCCCGGCGGAGCAGAGCGGCGCGGGGGATACGCCGGAGCGAGATAAACCCGATGCAGTGCTCCAGCTGCATGGAAAATACTCTGCATGGCGAGATTGGGACATTTCCCAACCTCCTGGGGGGTTTGGCGTGTTTCCCCTTAAAATAAATGTGTCAAGTGCTACTCGTGCAAAATCCGTTCATTTGGAGGGGGGTTACACCTTCTTCCTTTGCTTATTTATTCCATTCATCCCTGGAATAACAATCACCAGTTCAAAGTCTGGCTGAGTTATGAGGGGGGGGGAAAATGTGAACCTGCTAATTAAAATAGTTGCTTAAAACTCGGGGAAGGCACATGCCTGGCTGCCGGGGAGGTCACTGCCTGCCTGCGATGGGCTGCCGGTGTTGCCAGACCCTCCCATGCCTGCCGCTGCCGTGCCAGGAGGTGGGAGGCGTGGGGGCTGCCTTATAGCCCTGCTGGGGCCACAGCCCTGCCGAGGGACTCGTCCCGCTGCTGGCGGAGCCCGCTGCGACCTCCGGGGATGTGCGATGGGCTCTGAAGCAAGGCACAGACTCCGGAGGGCATGGAAATGCCTTCAGTGGAAAACCACTGGAAGGGTGAGTCTGCCCGGCAGCGTGGTGAGCTCAGGGAGGTGTCCTGGGGTTGTGGATGCTGGGGAAGGGGTGCTCTGTGCCATCCCGTGTGCCTGTTGCCCTTCCTGCCACCCACCCAGGCGTCCCTGGGGGACGTTGGGGGTAGATGCAGCTCTGCAACAGGGGTTGGTGTGAACCAGGAGCTGCACGGGGGCTTTGGAGCAGCCCTTGGCCGCTGCAGAGGGGCGTTTGTGCATGTTACTATCCCCGCAGCGTGTGTGTGGGGAGTGTCTGTGCTTGGCGCTGCATTTTGGCCCCCGGGGAGCCTCCCTGGTCGTGCCCCTTGGAGCAGAGCACAGTGTGCTCCCAGCTGTAAGAGGCATGGCCGTGCTGCGGCGGTAGCGCTGCTCTGGGCGCGCTCCCACACTCTGGCCAAAAACCCCCAGCCAGCTCTTTGCTCCCTAAAACGCGAACCCTGGGGCTTCTGGCTGCAGCAGCGGGGCCTCGGGCCAGTCCCTGCGGCTGCAGATCCACTTGTTGCGGTGTTTGAATGAATGTGGGTGCTGGGGGGGGTGTGTGTGTGGGGGGTGTATTAATTGCAGTTTTTCACCCCAAACGGCCTGCCCGCTATAACTCAGCGGAAAGTTTTCCTCTGCAGTGTTGCAGTGGGTGTTAAGTGTCGCTGGGGAGATCCTGGTGTGTGACAGGGAGCTGGTAGCAAGGGAGGTGAATCCCGGTGTCCCCTGCGTGTGTCTGCGGGGTGAAGGGTTTTATTGCTTTCCTCAGGAAAATCCGTGGAGGGGGCACAGCCCCGCTGCTGCAGGCTGCCGGGCTGTCTGTGGCTCCGGGGAAGCCCGAGCCAGCGGCAGCACAGGTCGTCGTGCCGGGTAGGGGTTTGCTCACGCAGACACGGGCTCGCTGACGGCCGTCCTGTCCCTCCGCAGGCCTAGTATGTCCGGGCTGCACCTGGCGAAGAGGGGCCGCGAGCACAGGAAGATGGATCTGCAACGGGATTTCACTGTCGCCTCGCCAGCGGAGTTCGTCACCCGCTTCGGGGGCAACCGGGTCATCGAAAAGGTCTTTCCCCGCGCGCCCCTGCCTTTGCCCGGGTTGGGGGGTTGTTGCTTTTCACGGCGGCATCCATGAGCGTTGTCCCAGTCTCCCGCGCCCACCAGTCTCGGAGCAGTGACAGCCTGGGACAGCTCAGAGCTGTTCGTGCCCCGGCTTCACCCGCTCTCGTGGGCTGGGAGAGGGGAAACCCTCCCGACGCTGCCCTTGCACGGAGGCTGCTTGCGGCGGCTTTGCAAAGGAAGGCCCAAGTCCCACCCTTCCTTAGCCCCAGTGCTGCTGTTAAGGAGCCTCCTGCTCCTCCAGCATCTAGATCCGGCTGTCAGGAAGCACCCGTGCTAGCGTGGCTCTGTGCCCAGCCCTCACCTCCGTGTTGCCGTCCCTTGGGGCCACACACCCAGCCCTGCACCCCAGCGGCGAGGAGAGGTTTCAGCCTGACCCCATGCCCCCCCCAGGTCCTCATCGCCAACAACGGCATCGCCGCCGTGAAGTGCATGCGCTCCATCCGCCGCTGGGCCTACGAGATGTTCCGAAACGAGCGCGCCATTCGGTTCGTGGTCATGGTGACCCCCGAAGACCTCAAGGCTAATGCGGGTAATTCCTAAAAACATCCCAGCGAGGGGAGTTCCCTGCGCCGGGGCTGAGCCGGGGCAGCTTTTTCCTTCTCCCTGTGCTGCTGGCTGGGCCGTGGCGGGGGGGCTCTGCACAGCGCAGGGTCACACGCTTTCCTCCTGCGCATGCAGATCCAGGGGTAATTAATTTTTTCCCCCCTCCAGCCTCTCTGGGATGGAGCATTTGGGGAGGGGGGTGCAGAGGGCAGCGTGTGAGTGGGTCACAGCTCAGGGGACTGGCTCCCCCCCGCCACCATGTGCTGTCTTGCAGAGTACATCAAAATGGCAGATCACTACGTGCCCGTCCCCGGGGGGGCCAACAACAACAACTACGCCAACGTGGAGCTGATCGTGGACATTTCCAAACGGATCCCAGTCCAGGTAACAGCCGCTCGCAGGCCTCCCGCCTCTTTGCTGAGGGAAGCCGCTAGGGCAGACGGGGCACGCGGGGTGGGGGGGACACGTCCCTCCGTGCGGAGGAGCTGGGCGCGATGCTGCAGCTGGTGGGAGGATGCCAGCACAGGGGGGTAAGGACTCACACTGCTCCTTCTCTTGTGCCAGGCGGTGTGGGCCGGCTGGGGACACGCCTCGGAAAACCCCAAGCTGCCAGAACTGCTGCAGAAAAATGGGATAGCTTTCCTAGGTGAGGTCTTGCTGCCTTCCCTGTGCCAGAGGGAGCAGCCAGCGTTGGGCTAGTGTGTGCCTCTGTGTGGCTGGCGTGGCCACCCTGCAGCGTGGCACTCCTCAGGCCTGTTTTCTGGAGCTGTCCCAGGAATCCTGCTGTTGTCGGGGTTTTCCCTGTAGTTCTCCTGCTGATGCAGGAGGAATTGGGTGGGAGTGGACCTCGTGGGCTTCCCAGGCAGGGGCCAGCCAGGGCTGCTCTCTGGAGAAGGGTTGAGCTCCGTCCTGAGCTGGGCAGTGGGTTTTGGGGGGGGGTTTTCCACGCCCCCACTCTTTGCAGAAGGGCTCATGGGGCCAGCTCAGTGGGGAGCAGCTTTCTGCAGTGTCTGTGCAATGGGGACGGCCCGCTGGCCCAGCTCACCCCTTTCCTCCCTCCTCAAAGGTCCTCCCAGCGATGCCATGTGGGCGCTGGGGGACAAAATCTGCTCCACCATCGTGGCTCAGACAGTCCAGATCCCCACGCTGCCATGGAGCGGGAGCGGTAAGTGCCTCCCCAAAGCCCCACACACCCTCCCCACTCCCCCATTTCTCTCCTCCCTGCATCTCCTTCTCCCCAAAACCAAGCAGCAGGGTTGGGGGCCCCGGCTCAGCTAGCTGCAGATATCGGGGACCCCGCTGCAGCTGAGCAGCTGCTGGTTTGGGCAGGGCCGGGGGGGTTGGACACGGGGTGCATGGAAGTGGGAAATGACATGTGCCAACGTCCCCAGCTCCCTGGGCACAGCCAGCCTGCTGGCACAACCACGTAACCCTGGTGCAACCCCTGTGCCCACAGGTCTGGTGGCCAAGTGGTCCGAGGAGGCCCAGAAGAATCAGCAGACGATCAGCATCCCCCTGGAGACGTACACGCAGGGCTGCGTGAAGAACGTGGAGGAAGGCCTGGAGGTAAAGCTGAGCCCGTGGGCACCTGGTTGTGTCTTTGCCCATGGTTGTTTCTCCTTGGAGCCTGCGTGTCCTGGCCCTTTTAGCCTCCCAGTGCACGTAACCAGGAGGCAAGGCTGTTCCAGCGGCAGTTTGTCCCTCTGCATGGACGCACCTCGAGGCAATCCTACTGGGGGGCGCACGGGGCTGGGGCAGGGTGGACTGTTGGGGTCCAGAGCGCTTCAGTCACTGCCGCGATTGAGAGACGGGACCCGGCTTGATGCAAGCAGAGTCAGAGAGAGTTTATTGCAGAAATCATTCATTTATATAGAAAATTAGAAGAAATCAGAAGACACACGTCTTACATTGATTGGTTGCTCTACTTCAACATTCTTTATCAATGCTCGTTGATTGGTAGTCAATTAAAACTTCAACAACAGGACTGTTTACGACTAAGTTGTTTTTGCAGACACTTAAGTTGTTTTTCAGAGACTTTATATTTTCTTCTTCTCCGGCGCCGCATGACTCATAGGGGCGGTAACTCTCCCCCACATCAGCACTTCTTTACTCCCCTTATCAGGCTGCCCAAGGCTTATGGCCTGCAAGTTCCAGTACATCCCCTTCTAACAACAACAGTGAAGCAGGGCATGCCGCCCTGTCTGCTTCTTTCAAGTCCTTGTCCCCCCTCAGGTGGCCAAGAGGATTGGTTACCCACTGATGATCAAGGCAGCAGAAGGCGGCGGGGGCAAAGGCATCCGGAAAGTGGAGGCAGCGGAGGAATTTGGCACCTGCTTCCGGCAGGTGAGGGGTGCCCAGAACCCCTGTCCCACCCTGGGCACGCAGCAGGGGCCTGCTCCTCCCCAGGCATCTCACGCTTCCCACCTGCGCTCGCCGCGGGACCTGCCTCCATCTTGGGATGGATTTTGAGGGGCGATGCCAGAGCACAACCTTCTCCCCCGCTGCAGGTGCAGGCGGAGGCGCCCGGCTCCCCCATTTTCCTGATGAAGCTGGCGCAGAACGCGCGGCACCTGGAGGTGCAGGTGCTGGCTGATGAGGACGGCAATGCCATCTCCCTCTTCGGCCGTGACTGCTCCATCCAGCGCCGGCACCAGAAGATCATCGAGGAGGCCCCCATCACCATCGCAGCACCCTCCGTCATCGAGGTGATGGAGCAGGTGGGTGGCCCTGGGCTTGGGGCAGCACGAGGTTTTAGTAAGAAACTGGTCTGATCCTTGCTGGGTTGATTGTGGGGTTTGGCACCTGGGGCTCCAGAGGAAGAAGGGAGGGACCCCTGGAGCTGAGCAGGGAGCTCAGCCCTGCTCGCCTCGGTGGGTCCGTGCGAGGACACTGCTGCTGGGGACACCCCGGCTCCGGCGCAGTTGACCAGAGGGTCACTGCTGCGCGCGGCGGGCTCGCCCTCTCCCGCAGTGCGCGGTCCGCCTGGCCCAGACGGTGGGCTACGTGAGCACGGGCACCGTCGAGTACCTCTACGGCCAGGACGGGAGCTTCCACTTCCTGGAGCTGAACCCGCGGCTGCAGGTGGAGCACCCTTGCACGGAGATGATCGCGGATGTGAACCTCCCTGCTGCCCAGCTGCAGGTACCTGAGCGCGCACGGGGGATTTGGAGGTGAAGCAGTTTTGGAATTCAGGGTGAAGTGCTGGGCTGGAGCCTGGCGGAGAGAAGCTGCCCCAAATACCAGCACTGGGGTGCAGGTGGAAGCAGTGTAGCAGCCCTCTTCGCCACTGGCTCCCCCCGCCGGGAGCAGCTGCCTGCAGTGTGGTGCCTTTTCCCCTCGCTCATCATTCAGACCATCTATTGATATCTCCCAGCTGTAATTTTGATGCTAAAGTCTTGTTCTGGCAGCTAAAACCCTCCTGGTTTCTCGTGCAGATCGCAATGGGCATCCCCTTGCACAGGATAAAGGACATCCGGGTGCTGTACGGGGAGAGCCCCTGGGGGGATACACCCATCCTCTTCCACAGCCCCACCAACACCCCCGTGCCCAGGGGCCACGTCATCGCCGCCCGCATCACCAGTGAGAACCCCGAGGAGGTGGGTCGGGGGGTTGAACCGGGCACGGTCCTCCGCACCCCGACACCCTTCC